CGGAAAGGCCAGAGAGCACCGGGCAGTGGGGTGGGGGGAGGAGGGGTCAGGCAGGACAGGGAGGGGGGCGAGAATCCGCACCCCCAGAATCCACTGTCCATGAGGCAGGGAGGCAGGAGAGACAGCCTGGGACCCCGAAGGCACAGGGACCTGCCCACAGCAGCCAGGCACCCCTTCTCCTGTCTCTAAATTGGGGATCAGAACAGTCCCTACCTCCCAGGAGGCCGAATGGGCTCGGCCGGGACGGGGCTCCGTTTCCTCCTCACTCGGTGGGGCCGCCCCAGTCCCCGTGCAGAGAAGGGCAGAGCAGGACCCCGCTGAAGGGGGCTGTGGGCGGGGGAGGAGGCTTCTGACTCACACGCATTCTCCTGGGAGCATGTGTTCGGTGGGGGGGCCTTTTCACACTGAGGTGGGAGGAGTCACAGGGTGTGTGGGGGGGGGGCAGCCTGGAGGGACCATAACCGCCACCTGGACACCCTGCCACCCTCTGACCTGACCCCCAATGCCCCACCCGGCCACACCCCCAGAGCCACACTGCGCCCTGCAGGGAAGGCCACCGGCAGCAGCTCTCGGCCTCCAGGACTAATGGGGGGAAATGGTTTCCCGATGAAATATTCATGCCCGGCTAAGCCTAAAATAGGCCAGAAAGGAGGAGGGGGACTCTTGTCCGGCGCAAATGAGGTGACATGCGACCGCGAGGCTGCCTCTCTGACCTCGCCCCTGCCCTCCCCACCCGCCCAAGGCCCTGAGACCCCACAGGGCGGACTTCCTGGGTCTGTGGCCTGGACGGTCCCCTAGGGCCACCCACCCAGAAGGGCCCCTGCTTGGTCTCATGCTCTGTGGTCGCCATCTGGCAATTCCTAATCTCAGAGCAAGGGGTCCACATTCTCACTCGCACCGTTATGTGACCGTCCCGGCCGGCCGGCGTCCAGAAAGACCGCCGGGTCTGACCCCGGGACACGGTCACTGTCCCCTTGGGCAGAGCCAAGGGGAGGTGACGACCACCGCCCCCCAGTGGCCATCACCGGCACATGCACCACCTCATTTCATCGGGAACCAGCCTCATGAGTGAGATCAGCAATAACAATGGAACAAATATCA